CGTCTCCTCGCACTCCTGGTCCATCTCGAGTTCGCCCATGGTTGCCGCCCAGAGCTCTGGAGGCCTGTACCAGCAGGTGCACACCAAAGCCGTCATGGGCTCCTCCCTCTTCGGGGCGCGGGTTTTGTTGCGGAGGCGCAGGCGCGGGTCCCCAGACCAACGCCGAGCCGTGCCAAAATCCGCCAACGCCAGCGAAGGCCCCAAGAACTCCCCGTGGACCTCGCTGGCCAAGAAGATCAAGCAGTTCTCTGGCTTCACGTCTCGGTGGATGATGTTGTGAGCATGGACGTGAGCCAGGGCAGCTGCGAGCTGCCGCATCATCCTGCGAGCCAGCTCGGGCGGCAGGACGCCGCCAGGCCTCCTGCCGAGGAAGGTCTGGAGGTCCAAGTCCGCTGGCGGGAACACGAGGATAGGCAGGTCGTCGGGGTCGCGCTCCCCGCCCGGCGTCGAGGCACGGACGTCGATGAGCCTAAGGACGTTGGCGTGCGCCACTGTGCGCAGGCAAGCTGCCTCCCACAGGATGTCCTGCCTCGAAGTCCCGCCCGCCCTGGAAACTTTCAGCGCTACGTCGACGCCGCGACCACACGCGCCGTCACCGGGTTCGCGCGCGAGGACCACGCTGCCGAAGCTTCCAGCGCCGAGCGTGCGCAACCTCCTGGTCTCCACGTAGGGGGACACCGCGGCCATGGTCTCCATGGCCGCGGTGTCCCCCTCGCCCCCTCGATGGATGATCCTGGTACCTCGCCCTGCGGTGCTCGAGCCGAGACGGCCGCCCAGCCCTCGTCCTCCTCCTCGCCGCCGTCGTGGTCGTCGGGGTCGTCGTCGTGTCGACGTCGTCCTGGACGTCGTGGTCGTCGTGGTCGTCGTAGTCGTCGCGGTCGTCGTCATCGTCCTCCTCATCTCCTCCTCCTCTCCTCCTTTTGTGCGCTCCGAGCTGCTAATCCGCACCCAATCAACGACCGAATGCGGGCAAATATGGAAGATAACCGTCGACAAAACAAAGCAACAGGACTCATGGGAGGGATGGGAAACGGAGCCAATCCTCAATACCGTAGTTTCCCTTCTGGTAGCGCCGCATGGCGGCGTGGACAAGCGCAGTGGACCGTGCTAAGATATCGCCCGCCACTTCATCTGAACGCCGGCCGCCTGGAGCATTGAAGCATCGACCGCGCACCGACTCCGTGACATTTGTCACGCTGTCTCATTGCATCACTGTCCACCCCACTGTACCCCCTTGAATTCCCTCCCCCGTGTGTGTGGCGGTACTCACCAATATGCAACAGCAAGGGCAGACGCCCGGCAACTGCATGGCAACAGTACAGCGACGGCACGGCAACGGCGCGGCAACGGCATGGCAACGGCATGGAACCAGCATGGCAACAGCACGCCAACAGCGTATCCGTCGCCCGCAAACTGCATGGCAACTGCGTGGCAACAGCATGGCAACAGCATGCCAACGGCATGGCAGCTGCATGGCAATCGCATGGCAATCGTATGGCAGCTGCAAGCCAATCGCATGGCAATAACATGGCAGCTGCGTGGCAATAGCATGGCCCGCCCCTCCGCACCCCCTCGACCGCCCCCACCCACCCCCTTCCACCACCCCACCGCCCCCCCCTTTGGAGCCTCCCAAAGGCCCCCAAGGCTCCCAAGAGTGCCCTGGCAGGGCCCCAAAAGGCGCCCAGGAAGCCCCAAGAGCCCCCTCAGAGGCTCCCGAGCGGCCCCCCAGAGGCCCCCCCCAGAGGCTCCCCCGAGGCACCGAAAACGCTCCAAGAGGCCCTAACGACCGCCAAGAGGCCCCCAAGACGATCCAAAAGGCCTCCGAGAAGCACCTGAGAGACATCCCAAGAGACTCCGAGGGGGCATCCAGACGGACTCTTGCCCTTCTGCTCGCCCTCCTCGTCCTTATCCGCCTCTTCTTACCTCTTCTCCGTCCTCCCTCTTCCTCCCGTCTCCTCCCCCCCAGCCTCCTCCCCCTCCTCCTCCTCCGTGCCCTCCACCATCTCCTCCGTTTCATCATCCATCTTCCCCCTTTGGGGGCACGAAGGCTTCCCGAGCCCTTTGTTTTTCTGTATGCCCTCCCCCCACTTCCCTGATCAGGGCAACTCATCTGGGCGTCGTTGCTGGACGGGCTGGAGGGGATACGCAAGCTTCAAAAATATGGCGCAGGCATTGCCATAGTACGGCGCCAGCGTGTCATTTTTTATCCAGCGCATCTTACGGGAGAAGAAGGAGGAGAGCAGAGGAGACGAATCGGACATGGGAGCCACAACATCACTCGAGTAATACGTGCAATCCGTGCGATGCTCGGCAGAGACTGATCAGTGGCTGAAAGTACAGCAACATCCCAGAAGTAAAAAAGCACTGGCGAGAAGAGGAGAAGGGAGGAGGACGAATATAGCAGGGCCGCAGAAAAAAAGGCAAAACCGGAAAACCACGCCAGAAGCCAGCCTAGTGGTCGTCGTCGTGCGTCGTCGTCGTCTGCGTCGTCGTCGTCGTCGTCGTCGTCGTCGTCGTCGTCGTCGTAGTCGTCGTGGTCGTGGTCGTCGTCGGCGTCGGCATCGGCATCGGCGTCGTCGTCGTCGTCGTCGTTGTCGTGGTCGTGGTCGTCGTGGTCGTTGTGCGTCATGCATCGTGGTGCGTCGTGCGTCGTGCGTCGTGCGTCGTGCGTCGTCGTGGTCGTCGTCGTGGTCGTCGTCGTGGTCGTCGTCGTGGTCGTCGTCGTGGTCGTCGTCGTCGTCGCTGTCGTGGTCGTCGTCGTAGTCGTCGTCGTGGTCGTCGTCATCGTCGGCGTCGGCGTCGTCGTCGTCTTCGTCGTTGCCCGGGAGGGTGAGGGGTCCCAGACCGCCTCACCAATTTTCCAGGGGTTAACCTCTTCCTTCCCCAGGGCCCGCTTCCCTGCCCAGGCCGTTCTTGGTAGTGCCCCAGGCCCCGAGGCAAGCCCCCAGAGGTCGAAAAAGACGACGGGCCTCCGTCTTGACGTTTTGCTCAGACGTTGAACATCTGGGGTTACGTCCATGCCAAACTGAGGGGCAGCGTTCGGGGAGGTCCAGCTCAGGGGCGGAAACATCGAGCTGGAATCGGTGATACATCTCCGATATGTCGGCGACAAGCCCCCCGATAGCGAATAAGCACACTGTCCATGGCGGGGCGGGCTATCGGGCTTCCTGAATGCGCGATTGGGGGTCGATGCGCCCCCGCCTTGAGCCTACGGTCGGCCATGTTTGCATAACGTGTCGCGGCGGCGGCCCTGGCGACACGCTATGCCCTGCAAGTTCGAAGCCACTTGGAATGGGGACGTGGATAGCGTGTCGCGCAGAAGCGTGGTGGGCCAGAGCTATCGGAGAGAAACGCTGATCCAAAGTTTCTGACCGCATCCCCCCCTAACGCTGCCCCTGAGAACCACGTCGGCTGGACCCGCCGACGAGGACGATGACACCGAGGCCGACGAGGACGAGGTCGGCGAGGACGAGGCCGGCGAGGACAAGGCCGACGACGAGGCCGACGAGGAGGCCGACGAGGAGGACGACGACCACGACGACCAAGACGACGACGACGACCACGACGACTACGACGACGACGACGAAGACGCCGACGCCGACGCCGACGACGACGACGCAGACGGCGCCGACGACGCCGCTGACGACGACGACGCCGACGACGACGACGACGACCACGACGACGACGACTACGACGACGACTACGACGACGACCACGACGGCGACCACGACGACGACCACGCACGAGGCACGACGCACGAAGCACCACGATGCACGACGCACGACGACCACGACGATCACGACGACGACAACGACGACAACGACGACGACAACGACGACGACGACCACGACGACTACGACGACGACGACGACGACGACGACGACGACGACGACGACGACGACGACGACGACGACGACGACGACGACGACGACGACGGCCGTATCCCCCCCTAACGCTGACCCTGACTACCCCGTCGGCGCGACCCCGAAGCCACGGCTCCGATGCAAGCCGCGAGCCCGAGCGGGCTTCGCAGAGGAGGCACCGCTCCGAGCCCTTCGCAGGGGTGGCGCAGCCTTCCCAGGGGATGCGGGAGGCCCAGTCGCGGGCTGGTCGCGAGCAGACAGCCGCCCCAGGGAAAGCTTGGCTGCGCGGGCAATGAGGCAGGGGAGGCTTCTTGGAAGAAGCTTCAGACTTCCTAGGGAAGGCTTCCTAGAATGAGCATGTTTCTTAGAAAAAGCCTTCCCCCCTCCCTCTGCCCACTTTTAAGCGTGGCTGAAGGATTTGCGCGCAGACAGCCCCCCCAGCCAGTCCTCACTGGGCTCAACAGGTCCGGGGCGGTCTCAACACCCTGGCGCCGCCCGCGCCCCAGGGTTGAGGTGCTGAGACCGCCCTAGGCTACCTACTCGGGGGGCGCTTGTTGAGGCCAGCCCGAACTACCACGGGAGGCTGTCTGTGCGAAACCCGAAGCCTTAGCACGCTTGCCCACCCAAGCCACTCATTCAATGCGACGCAAGCGGCGTAGCGAGGGCCGAGACACGCCGCGTGCTACCGGTGGAGCCAAAAGGGACACGCCCTGACGAGCATCAGTACAGCCCCCGAACCCGGGCCGGCGGAGAGCAAAAAGGGGGGTGCGGGGGTGGGGATCGGCGGCCTCTTGGGATGCAGAGCCTCGCGCAGAGGGCCCCGCGTTGCTTCCGCTGGCCGCCCGTGTTGCTTCCGCTGGCCCTGACGACGAGGGCCGCCTCGCCTCGCCCGCTGATGCTGCTGCTGCTGCTGCTGCTGCTGCTGCTGCTGCTGCTGCTGCTGCTGGCCCGGGTTCCGTCCCCTGCCGAAGCGTGGCCCCTCCTGCCAGGCCTGCGGCGGTCATCGGCGGCGATCGGCGGCCATCGGAGGCCCCTGGGGGCAGCTGACGGCGTGCGGAGGCCGTCGGCAGCCTTCGGAGGCCATCGGCCTCTGAGTTTCTGCGCGCGCGGCCCAGGAGTCAGGGAGGGGAGCCGCGCCTCCGGCCAAGCCAGCTGCAGCAGCTGCACGCGCCACTTGGCGCGCCCGCCGCCGTTGCCGCCCTCCTTGGGAGGGGCGGGGCTCCACGCAGGAGGCACTGAAACACCACCGCCGTGCCTGGCCAGGGCCAGCCAACGGGCCTTGAAGAATGCATATGCCCTCCTGGCTGAGGACAGAGGGGGTCTACACACCATCCTGGGGCACAGGTCCTGGCTAGGCACGGTGGTAGTGCATCAAAGACATCTGTGGACAGGTGGCTGACATGCGTATGTACATATTGAATGTATGTGAACATGTGAAGTGTATAATGATGGGCTCTGCTCGATGCCTTTTTTCCACAAGTGGCAAGGGGTCTCTACCAAATCGGGCACAAAAGAGCTCAGCCTTCTCGCCCACCGTTGCCCGCCCAGCCACTGCCAGGAACGCCCACAAGGGCAGGAGAGGAGCCGACGCCTGGAAAAAATCTTCCACGCACCATTCACCTGGATGCCAAAAGTTGCCAGCCGTCTCCAGCAATCCGCGTTGCGGAGGCGGGAGTCGGAGGTCAGCTAAGGCTGTCAAGCCTTCGGTTATGCAAAAGGGATCCGTGCGTGAATGTGACCATCGGCCGCGCACAATTGCGCGGTCGAGGCGGCCATGGTGGATGAAATCGTGCCTGGCACCACCTCGCCGGAAAGAAAACATTTCATAACCGTGTTCGTCCAGTTGCAGTTCTCGGTAGATCTCGCGGAAAATCCGCCGCTGCGACGGGCCTGACAAGCTGCGCACCAACTGCCCAGGTGGCAAACCACGCACGACACGTTGCAACTGAGCGGCCACGGTGCTGTCAGGACTTGCGACCGATTCTTGAGCGCCCTGTCCCGCCCCAGTCTTGGTGAGCCTTACGTTGAGCACGGCGCACTTGGAGCCCTGCCCAAAAGCGACGTCACCAGCTCGAAGGGCGAAAATTTCGCCTGAGCGGCGGCAACAATGGAAGCCGACGAGCCATGGCAGCCCTGAGGCGCAGCTTCGCCGGACGGCTGCGTAGCCGGCGAGACCCAAGGGGCCCGACTGGTAGTTCAGCCCAGGCCCGCGCCCCCAGGAGCCGCCAGCTACCGTTCGGAGCTCTCCTGTGCCGGAGCATGAAATGCTGGACCCCCGCAACCCAATCTTTTGCGTGAGCTGTGGGATCGCATTCATCGGCCTCGACACTCGGGCCATCGAGCTCGGCCGATCGCCAAATTAAGAAACCTTTTTCACATGTTGCCGGCGCCGGGCAAGAGCTCCGGCTGCGACTTCCTGGTCTTCAAGCTTGCCGAGAGGAGACGAAGCGCCGCGCCTAGCCTTCCTCGTGGCCGCTACGACCTGCTTACGACCCATGGCTGGATGCAGGGCCCCCCGCGGCCCTCCCGGAGCGTCTCGGGGGGCCTCGCATCGGCCGCACCGCCGGGGCAACCTCCCGGGGGCGCGGGAAGGGCCGTCGGGCGGGTTGGTCTTGCTCGCCACGTAGCCGAAGAATGGCCACACGAAGGCAGCTAGTTAGGCAATGCGCATCAAGACGTCTCAACAGGTGATTCACGCGCCTCGAAGATGACCGCCCCTTGGCGCAAACTGCAAGAGCGACCTGCAAGTCCACCAAAATGGCGGCCCCACTTCCGCGTCGGTCCGCCCCGCGGCAAAACCATTTCACAGCAAGCAGGACATCGGCCAATGCGGCGGAACTGCCGGCGCCGAGCGCAGCCCAAGACAGCATGCCACTGCCGTCGTGCAGCGTCCATCGGAGCCCGCGGCCGCCGCGCGCCCGGGCAGAACGGCAGACCTAAGCCCAGCCGCGCCTCGCTCCCGCGGTGGTCGGCTTGCCGCACCAGGCCGTGAACTGCATACTTTTTCGCAACAACCTCCGAAACTGGGCCGCTCGCTGGCCAGGCCGGCGCGGCCTCCGTCCGGGCCGCTGCCCAGCCCTTGAGAGCGTTTCCTCATGTTCTGCGATGAAAGGAGTCATGGGGGGGGTGCAGGGGGGGCTATCACGTAACGCCCCTCCCCGCCGTTTGGCTCCGGCACCACAGCCGCGCCCGCGCGCAAGACGCGACGGGCGACGAGCGACGACGACGACGACGACGACGACGACGCGAGCAGCATGTGGGTGGCGATATGCCCCACTGCGCCTGTGTACACCACAACGCTCGCGTGCACCACAGCGCGCGTGTACACCACAGCGCCTGCGTACACCGCAGTAACCGTATGCAGCGCAACGCCTGTGTACACCACAGTGCTTGCGTACACTACAGCGCCGGTGTTAATGTGTACACCGCAGCAACCAAGTGCAACGCAGCGCCTGTGTACACCACAGTGCTTGCGTGCACCACGGCGCCTGTGCACGCTACACCGCCTGTCTACACCACAGCATCCGTGTGCAACGCAACGCAAGTGTACACGACAGTGCCTTCGTGCATAGGACAGGGAGGAGGAGCATGTGCGTGACGATCTGCTGCGGACAATTAAACGCCACGCCAGGAAAGTGCTGAGAATCGAATGCGACGTTTTTCCCTCCTCCATCCACCTCCACGTCCTCCTCCTCCTCCTCCTCCACGTCCTCCTGTTCCTCTTCCTTACCCCCTGTAATGCGACTTGGCGCTACAACGCACGTGCGCATCTCAGCGTGCACCGCAGAATTGTCGATTGCATCGGTCCACTTGGATCTCGGACGGCCAATTTAACTGGAGCCTCTTGGACGCAAATGGGAAGAGTCAGGGCGATGCGGGGGGACTCGGGAGGACTCGTAGATTCCACCGGCGCTTTTTTGTCCATAGTGATTCCTTTCTATTGTTTTCTGTGGAATCCACAAGCGCTCCATTTTGTCATGAGATTCCTTCAAACATGCTATATACAACAGCGGTGCTGTGTTGCATACGGTTGTCATGGTGCACACAGGCGCCGTGGTGTACACAGGCAGTGCAATGCACGCAGGCATTGTGTACAGTGGCGTTGTGTTGCGCACGCCTGATGTGGTTTACGCAGGCGCTGTGGTGTACACAAGAGCTGTTGTGTGCCTGCAGGCACGGTGGCGGTGGCAAAAACTGACGCTGTGTTGCACGCGGCTGCTGCGGTGTACATACGCGATGTCGTGTACACAAGCGCTGTGGTGCACGCAGGCACTGTGATGTACACAAGCGTTGTGGTGCAGATCGCCACCTACATGCTGGTTCTACCAATTTTCCGTCATTCCTAAGCATTCCCGGACGCCGCCGGCGCGAAACGTGACGTCATCGACCCCCTCCCCCCCCCACATGATTGCCGTCATCGGTCCGGAATAAAAAATAGGCTCCAGTCGCGTCGGCGCGCACGTCGACGATGAGCGACGAGCGACGAGCGATGAGCGACGAGCCACGACGACGACGACGACGACGACGACGACGACGACGACGATGACTGCGGACCAGGCTCCTATGCGGATTCCTACGCGGACACCTACGCGGATCCCAATGCGCACGGCGGCAGTGCTCGGAGCGCACTGGGGGGGGAGCGTTACGTCATAGGGGGGGGGAGCAGGGGCCATGACGCCCGTCATGCCCCAAGCAATGAAAAAAACTGGCTCCTGCGGCGCGAACGATGCCCCGACGCGAGCCCCGCCGCCGCGCTCCGAGGCGTCGGTCGCGAACGACTCTGGATGCAGGACGGCCCTGATGTCGGCGAAAAGCACGGGGGAGAGATCCATGGCGAGGCACAGGTCGCCCCCAAAGGTACGCGATATGGAGCGCCGCCCTCGCCACTCCGACATATCCTCCCAGATGCGATCGAACGCGCCGGAAGCCGAAAGCTGGCCCCTGATGCACGAAGCCAAAACACCAACGGCCACCTTCTGCGGCCAGCCGGATCGCCTTGCAATCGGGCCGCGCGAGCACCCAGCATGCGAGAGCGAGGTGGGGCAGGAGCTTCTCGACCGTGGTGCTCACGCGCCCGCGCCGCCCATCCACGGCTGATCCCGTCGATGCTGCTAGCGAGTGCCGCTCGACTGTCTTGTCCTCGTTTCGGCGAATGCCCCACTGGGCAAGGGCATCCCGAGCGGCGACGTGCTCGACGCTGAAAGCCCCCTGGAGGCCCCGAGCCTCGCCGTGCGCCATCACCGCGGCGACGTCAACGTCATCGATGTGAACCTTCCCCCACATCCGTGGCAAGTGCCGGAGACCCAGAGGAAATCGTGCGGCGCGCCTCAGCTCCGCGGACTCGTCGAGGCTGGCGTGGGCCAGGATCCCCCCCGTGACAATGCGCCTCGCGAGGTGTTGGGCGATGCCGACGGCGGACAACCGCCCCATCGGCAGCCGCCGCTAACGCCCAGATCGGGGGCCCCATGGCCCTGCCGGGGGCAGTCGGGGCAACGGGCCGCGCGGGCGCCGTCCAAGGTCGCCAACGTGCCGGCAAATTCAACGCGTCGAAACACCCTTTGATGTCCTCAGTGGACCACGCGAACAGCTCCCCGTCCTCGATGACGGCGACGTGGCGCTCTCCGCCCACGGGCAGGAGCTCGACGTCACCGAAGATCGGCACTTGGACCCGGCTGCTCGGGGCCATGTTGACGATGAGCCGCGGGGCCCCCGTGGCTGGCGGCGCGGGCGCGTCGCTCTTTGCGACCCCGAAGGTGCCGTTCAGGACGGGCTGATCTCCGACCTTCGCGACGGCGCCGCGCAGGATCTCTTCGTGGACCCCGCGCCCCAGCAACTCCTTGACGACGACGCCCAACTCAGCTGCCTCAGCGCGCGCTGTGGCTGGCGGCCCTGGGGCCCACGGTGGCCGCCCACATTGCGCGCCAACTCTGGGAGGGGCAGCGCGTGAACGACCTCCTCGGACGCAGAGTCAGGAGGATCGACTGCAGCGGCCTCGCCGCGCGGCGGCAAGACAGGGAGGAGCTCCCGCGGCGTGAGCTTCTCTGGCGCCGAAACTTTGTAGCCACCGTGAGAGAGCCGCTTCCTGCCGAGCACCTGGTCGAAGTCCATCGTCGGCGACCGCCCCAACGCCCCTGCCTCTCCGGCGCGGCGGTCGACGCAATAAGTGAACGGCTCCTTGATCTTCTCGAGAGCTCTGACCTGGG